CTCTCAGCATTAAATCAGTAGAGCTGATGCTGAGCCTATTACAGAAATAGATCATGTGAGTAGTCAATATGACAATCTTATTCTAAAATTCAATTCAAGTCATATTACTGTGGAGATACAAAAAGTGATTAAAATAAATGAATCGTCTTAAATGACACGAAACTGAACTTTTTTCTAATATTATTTCTTACTTTTTTTCAGAATTACGAAATTATTTATCTATATAAAGCTAGATGTGCCTTACTATAGTTTGATCAACTAAAAGCTCGAGTAAAAAACTTGATTTTTTCCTGTATCTGCAGAATAAAAAAGTTTTGAATCAAACTTTAATATCACAGTAAAATAGTTACTATCATACTATAGGCTACAATTCCAAGCTAAGACTGGTTTTCTTCCCTACAGATACAGAAAAAAATCAAGCGTTTTACTCAGACTTTTAATCGACCGCACGACAGTATGAGTTGTTTTCAGAAAAAGAATTATTTTCCAAAATAATACATGATAACTGTCATATCACTAAAACCAAACTTTGCAATGCAAAGATATGAAAGAAATCAATTTCTAGTGGGTCATACGTGTGTCTGCTAGTTAAAAGAATTACGTATTACATCATGGCATCAATGTACTAGACATTTAGGACAGTATGCATATGTCTTCATGGAGCAACTTCCACTATTAATTCGAAAATGTAAACTTCGTTGAGCTTGTGGTCGATATGCTAAATCATCAAAACGCGTCATACTTGAAAAACTATAGACAACTTTTGTGCTTTTTGGTGGATCAAGATCATTGCCGTCATTACCTGATTCCAGGGTTTGCAATGGCAGGTGTAACAAGCAGAAACAAAATGTACGGAACATCTGCTACTTGCAGAATGCACTCTGTTTTACACGTTGCGTAGAAAAACAGAGTGTACAATTGTACACTTTGCTGAAGAAATTGAAAATTTAATTTCAGCAACTATATATAATATAAAATTAAAGATTAAGTTTATGTAATAGTAGATTATGACATCTTGCGTTCGAGTTTATCATTGGGTAGAGAGTAACTGATTCAATTCAATATCAATATCAATACTAATTCGATTCTTTTTTTTTGTATCAATGTTAATAAAGATAAATTTTGGTTCTAATTCTAGTTCAGATTTATGATTCATGAAGAAAAATCAATTGAAATTAAATGAAATTTGGAGTAAAAATAAAAATTTTTCAGAAGGTGTTCATTCCACGATTGATAATGAAATTGAAATATTATCTACAATGTCATCTTCATCAACATCAATTACTTATGTATCATCAACAACATCGTCTTCATCATCATCAATTCCTTCTACATCAATATCAATGCTTTCATCGTCAATAAATTCACCTGTATTAAGAACAATTCCATCTTCTTCAGCAACAATTTCATATTTATCATCATCAGTTGCGTCTTCGTCATCAACAGATGTATGTCCATTATTAATACCTATTGAAGTAGAAGAATTACCTTTAGAAATCGATATTATTCATAAAAACTCGTCTAATGATACACCAAGTTCTTTACCAGATCATGATTATACTTCATCAAATAGTGATAAACATATTAAAAAGAAAAATTTAACATCTCAACCAAAATATCGTATTCAATACTTAACTGAATGGGAAAAACGACCTGAGGCTCAATATAAAACATACGTTTTCGACAGTTTTGGTGGAAGACATGAAACGTTCATTTGTTGGTTATATTTGAAAAATAATTCTATGGGTTGTCGTTTATGTGAAAAATACGGAAAACGAAAAAATTGTAATGGTGAGATTGAATTGTTACACAGTAACTCTTCTCTTTTAATATAATTTTATATCTTGATGTTTGTTCGTATAGGTAAAGAAAACGTATGGTGTACAACAGGTATGAGAACGTGTTCACTCGACAAAATAAAACTTCATAAAGAAAAAAATGAAGTACACAAGCAAGCAGAACAACAAGAACTACTTCTATCTTGTCGAGCTCAACCAGGATGGATTGTTACACAACAACAACAATTAAATAAACATGAATTAGCTATTCAAAATCTTATGTTGGCTTGTATTTATTTATGCCAACAAGATCAATCATTAAATAGTATTGATCCTCTTTGTGATTTACTTGAAAAACTTGGAATGCAATTATTGCCAGCCGAAGTATCAGGTGTTAGTTACCGTAATGGCAAAGCAGCATTATGTTTTATTCAACACATAGCAAATTTCCTTCACGAAGAACTAATTGAAAAAGTGAAGCAAAGTCCTGTATGTGGTACGTTAATGATAAAATTTGCTTACGAGGGAACCTCCCCAAATGTTACCCTCCGATTTCAATGAATTTTTGTCTATAGATACTACATAGTGCCCTAGTAAAACCTATGAAATGATTTGAGTTCCTAAGGCTTTCTTCAAAAGTTATGCATATTCTTATTTTGCTCCTATAAGGCATAACATACAATATCCAAAAGAGGGTTCGCCAGACTACCAATCAAGCTGGCTATCGCTAAATAATTTTTTCCATTTTTTTACCACAAATGAAAGGTCGTATTAGGAAACTTATAAATCCAAAATATCAAGTTGTTATGAAGTACCTATGAAAAATGTCAAGGATTAAAATCATCAATTTTTTGTGGTTACATCATAAAAATTCAAAAAATGTTTTTTTTTAATTTTGATGTTTTTTTTTGAGAATCTTCCTGGGTATGATGAACTAATCTCGAAAAAAAAATCTCGAAAAAAAAATCTCGAAAAAAATAATCTCGAAAAAAATAAATCTCGATAAAGTAAGATCTCGAAACTTCTTCATCTTCGAAATTTTTCAATCTCGACAGATAAAAAATCGAAAAACAAAAATATCGAAAAAATTTCGAAAATACTCGAAAAGAAATAGAACTATACATTAAGTATTAGAGCGTTATTTTGTAGATAGATAATTGTTTATTTATTTAGAAAAGTTACTACAAGTTATGAATAAAATACAACGTTCGCTTGAGACAGAAAAAGAATTTCAATTTTTTGTTGCCACCAATAGAATTAATCCTTCAAAAAGTTCATCAATTGTTATCATTTTGTCATCAAATTGTGACTGAAGTGAATCAAGTCGTTGTTGAAAATCAGCTGTCTTCTTCTTAGTTTGTTTCTTCTCCCCCATAGTCATCTTCAACATTGCTTGCCGAACACAAACTTCTTCAGTACGAAAGCAATCAAATAAATGCCATACGTTGGGATGAAATTTTGCAACCAATCGGTTGAACCGATGATTCCAACCTTATTAAAAGAAAAAAAAATAGAAAAATTTAATTACCCTCCACATGATTATTGGTACGATGTTCCACCCCATGAACATTCCATAAACTCCAACGCATTTTTCTAATCCAATAATTTTCAAAATAACTGATCAATGGTTTCATTACACGAGGTGCTGTATCAGCAATTTTATCAAAGATATATCGTGTATGATCAAGGGGAATAAAAGGAAGTGTCATTAATTGACGTGTAGTAGAACGTGCATGCTCGTCGTCACGATACACGGTAGTTAAATTAAGACATTGAATTTGTTTGATAATTGAATTCGTAAAATGAAAATAACATCCAATATGTCGTGCATTTGGAAACTAAAGAAGATAAAACTGTTATTTAGAAAAACAATAGGACGGAAATTACTTCTTCAGCTATTGTTTTAACCATAGCTAATTCATAATCAGTTGTTATCGTTGTAGGATGAAATCTCATTTGAAGACGATGAGCATGATGAATCAGAATTGAAAACAATTCTTTATAAATAACACTGGACCGACCACACATAAGAGCAATAACACAAAGACAACCTGTTTAGATAAATTAAATAAGAATTGTTTTTATATAAGACAAAAATAATTTACTTTGATTATTTTTCATGCAATGAATTGAGTAAATTTGATCAAAATGTAGTGGACAACTGGCAAATGTACCATCCATCATAATGTGTGATGATGTAAAAAGAAGACGGAGTTGTTTGTCAGTTGAATAAACGAGAATACGTTTTTCGACATCTTCACCAACATGTTGAACTTTATCAGCAAGTAAATAACGTCGACCATCAGTTGTTTTTTTATATCGTGATGGAATATCAAAATCCATCGATGATGGAAGAACAGGTGTATTTTTTCGACGAACTTTATCTAAACCACGATCTATAAAAAAATGATTAAGCTTTAAAAAACGAATTATTTTACATACTTGCTTGTTTAGCTGTATTTGCAATAGCAAGTGCAGTAGTTGAAAGATTAGCACGAGAAATTTCTTCTGTATAAATTTTACCAACAGCACCTGTTTCACGATTAATACGATTTTTCACATCGACCAACATCTTCCGAATTTCCAGTTTTTCAGGAGCAGGCATATGTGTATGATCAGATTTCGTGAATTTAATAAACGAATCATTATTAGTAAGATGAACACCCATATCGCACATTTTTTCCTCGCATATCCAGTAGGTAACCTTTTCCGTTTTTTTGTTTTGCTGAAAAACATAACCGTCGATAACGAGAAGCCGTTTTTTCTTGTTACTTGTGATGAATGTAATGGTCGGTGGCTTGTTTGAATCGGATGATGACATGATTGTAATAATGAATAGAGAGAAATAATAGCAGAGAAGAAAACGAATTGTTTATATAGGATCCAAGCGAGACGTACGATAGTACAAATACCTTATACTAACTGTACGGCGCCGATCATAACAGACGAAGAAAAATCAAATATATCACTTACGAACAAAGAATGACGAGCTGGATAAATGAAAGAAATATATAAGATATCAATTGTAAACAAATAACGACAGCCTGGATGCATAACTGAAATGTTAATAGATATCGATACATATATCAAAGACTGTTGGCCTCGATAAATAAAAGAAAATGAAACAATAATAATCGAAAACATCCTGTTCAAGTGCATTGATAGTTAGAATAATCGACACCTTATCACACTTTTTTCATTAAAACTTATAAAATAAATCTTAATTCTTCGCTTCTTCAGAATTTCATTTTGGAATTTGTATGGAAAACATTTTTTCGAGATTTTATATTTTCGAGATCTTGGTTTCGAGATTTTTGACTTCAAGATTTTATGTTTTCGAGATTTTACTTTTTCGAAATTCTTGCTTTCGAGATCTCTCACTTCGAGATTATATATTTTCGAGAATTTTGCTTTCGAGATTTTTTTTTCGAGATTAGTTCAGTAATTCCTCAATAGTACTAAATTTGTCATTGCTAGATATGGATTTGAAGTTATTTGTTTCAAGAAATCTCTTCTAAAATGATATTTGATGGTATTTTAATGAAGGTAAACGAAAGATTATGTTGTATATATTGCTTATATCGTCGAGAATATTCGATCGAAATTGAATATTCAATGAGAAAAGATGAGGTAGAGTATTCAAATGAAAAAGAATCGCTCGAAATGTATTGTTCGAAATACTACTAGTAAGAAAAACTAATTCAAGCTGGTGGAACGATAAATCAGCATAACAATAGGAAAAAATTTTCTCTATGAGAAGAACATTGTTGAAATGAAATGAATTATCTTGAGCGGAAATAACGAACAATTGAAAGTATTGTGAAAACGAAAATTAAGTTTTGAAAAAACTTTTCACATATTATATGCATTAACCCTTTGAGTCCGGGATTTTTTTTAAAAACTAAAAATATTTATTATTTCAAATCAATGTTTATTTTTGAAAATATGACCAAATACATAATTCAGAACACTTTCAGAGTATGATAATCTTTAAAACAATCCGTTACACACAACCCTACATCACATTCAATACATTC